AAGCACCAATGTATGAAAGGCAAGCCGATGTCTAGGAGCACAAGGTATATCGGCTGCGCGTTCCCACAAAGTGCTAAGAATAAGCAGAACATCGTCTGTTGTGGCTTCGGTTTTTTCAAATGTTTGTCTGCATGAGAGGTTGGACTTTTGTGCAAGAGTTGATTGGATCCACTGTGAGAAGAAATGTCAGTACACAGTATTGGTATAGGTAAGGAGGGAATCTACCTGGATAACCTCTCCACGGGCCTTCCCACGGTTGCCAAGCAATCTCCATTGTTCGGAATCTTCGTCTGAATCTTCATTCGAATCTTGATCCCTTCTCTTCGCGAGCACTACAGCATCAGCTTGAGCTACTATATGCTTCCATAAAGCAATAATAGTCACTACTGACTGAACTGTTGGTACCTGCTTCTGTTCCTCGGGCCCGTCTATATACAGACGCCTACATTTTGCATAGCGTGTATAGTCGGCCAGAAAGCTCTTGCAGATAGCAATGGCCTTTTTCTTGTTTTGGCACACGCCAAACCAAACCTTATCAGCCTCTTTTGGTGTTAATTGTAACACATCTGTGACAAATCTAAAAAGCGTTAGTACGCAATATTAAAAAGAGAAAAATGATAAGGTACATACCTATTCCATAGACGCCACGCGCGTTCTCGCTCGGCTTTGGTCTTCTTACAAAGCGAACGCTCATGTGTTGTTACCGTAAATTCGTCGACGTCAGCAAATGCTCTTCTTTTCCGTTCTTCGACGTCGCGTTCAGTCGGCGGTATCGGCGGTTTTCGTAGCTCCATCCCTTCCGTATTGCACATGGATGGAGTGTGATCGGCACCGTGAGACTCAAACAATACCCTCTCAAGCTGCAATGGCTTACGAGCTCAGCATGTTTGGGAGGAGAAATCAATTAGAAAACTCGGAAGGAGGGTTTCATATAAAAGCCAACGCAACCCTCGCAACGTAGGGGCCGTAATTCATGCGGTAGAATCAACGGGGAAGAATGGATATACAATGAATGCAATTAGAAGGGGACAGAAGTGTGCTTGTTTGGTTCAGTCAGAAATCTGAGGGTAAAGACGCAATATATATCTTGAGGCCCTTCTAACTCGCCTGAAGTGATATACGTACGGAGAAAAGTGTTTACCAAAGCCAACCACACCTCCCAAAAGCCAACCACACTTCCCAAAAGCTAACCACACCTTCCAAAAGCCAACGATTAGTGGCTTATTTATGGGAGAGCGGACGGGATCCCGAGTTTTCCACCATCTATGGCCGTACGTATGTGCTTCGTTTGTCCGGAAGACGCGCATATGGACAAAGATGGAAAGCGACGGTGATGGGAGAAGGAGTAGGTGATTGTGAACAAGACACTGCATCATATACTTCTACTGCCTTCTGTAGGACCGCGATCAAGTGGTGAAAAGAATGAGGAAACAGACCTGAAGAGCTTGAGATTCCTCTACCACACCTATAATCATCGTGTTAGTTACGATCCAATAAGGTTACGTATATATGCAGCCAAGTAGAGTTGCGGCGGGA